GATGGACAACCGATTGATGATGCGCGACCCCGGCCTTGAGTTTCTTTCCCGCGGGCCGCCCGCAGACCTGGCGGCGCGCCTGCGAGCGTTCAGCTCCCGCGCTGAAATGTGCGGGAAGGAGGCGGAGAAGCTAGCGGGCGAGCTACGCCTCGCTCGTTCCTTGCACTCTAAACAAGTTTTATCATGTGGAACTCTGCGACGACATGGCGCAGGCAGCGCTGCGGGTTTAGCTCGCACTTGAAAAACGCGGCAGTCTTCTGTCTCCTCCCGCCACTTTCATCGTCGTCCTATTCCCCGCCTCACCTTCTCCATGCATGCTGCTGCTTCCGCGATGGCCTTTCGCCCCCCCCGCCCTCCATTCCATCCCTCTCCTACCCCTCGTTCCCGTGCCCGTTCTTCTTCGATCCTGGGGCCTCAATCCTCGTTCTTTCGATCGTCGTCCTGTGAATCGTGCGACGCATGCGCATCCCATGTAGCTTGCGCAGCAAATCGCCGCGTCTACACTGTCGTTGTTCCTGCCAATGTTGGCATAGTCCTCTTGCCATTTGATGCGCGTGGGTTGGGTACGTCGCAGGGTAATTTGATAGCAATTTCAGGCATTTAATTATCTGTTCAAATTCATACTCTCCTCGTGGTACTTGTTTACTATCGGTCTCGGGTCTCGAGCCAATCTATGGCTTGACATGGAATTTACCACCCAACAGAAGACTAGCAGCCACTGCGACGCCAGTGCGCTCGCGCAGCAGGGTCGGGCGGGTGGGGAAAAACGCATCCCGCCAGCGGGACGGCCACGCGTGAGACAAATCCCATTCACCTGCGACGAGAACGCGCTCGCGGGCGCGCAGGGTGGGGATCCGCCTCAGCCGTGAATAGCCGTCCCGCAGCATTAGAGACAAGCAAGAAGATAGCCAATAGGGGCCACGACGCTCGCGCGACTTCTCCCCGCGCTCAAATGCTGCCCAGAGCGCCCATGAGAAGTCGCGTCGAGGCTGGGCCCGCGCTAACGCAGGGCACAACCGTCGACTGGCGCAGGCCCAGGCCAGGCGGTGGGGTGAGCGCGAGTCGGCGTCGCGGAGCCGAGCAACCTCGCCGACGCCTCCCGATGCATGCTCGGCGGAACGACGCCCAAGCGCGCTCTAAGCAGACCGCAGATGCCTGGTCTGCTTGACTCACGGCCTGGGCGGCCCCTGCACCGCTTCCGCGGCGATCGGCGCGTCCTGCGCGCCACGCGCCGCCGCGGAGCCCCGACCCCGATGCCTGCAGGGCGGCGCCTCGTCGGAATCGGAGTGCGCGATCTCGGCTTCTGCCGCCAGCACCATGGCTCGCGTCTTTGCGGCCGGGTACCTGTGCGCCGCCAAGCGCCGCGCCCTCGCGACCCAGGCAGCGCGGCCGTGCCCCCTGTCGGAATGGAGTGCCCGAACGCGGCCACAGATCTCCAACCCCCTTCGAAGAACAGCGCTGCTGGCCCCCCGGTGCGGAGTGCCTGTGTGCGAGAGACACGAACTGCGCGCGGGCCCTGGGTAGGCAGGGGACGGCAAGGGGAGCCCATGCCTGGTCGGCCCGGCCGCGCCTGAAGCAATGCGCCCCCCACTCCAATGCCCTATGGAGCCCGAGGTGGGCAGCGGCGAGCTTGACGCAAGCCAGCCCGTCCACGTAAGAGGCCCGGCAGGAGCTGCTCGCCGGGCCGGAGCGAATGCCGAATGTTGCAGACCGCACGCAAGCGTTTGCCCTGGAGCTGGCATGCGCATACCCTCCAGACCTCGCGATGCGGGGAGCCCGGGGCGCGCCCCGCCGCGCGCGCGCGCTCGGCCCGCCGGGTCGGGAGCCACTCTCCCCTTCCGCTGGCGGAATTGCACCTGCACCTGGTGCTTTCCTTCGTCTACGTGGAGCGAGACGGCACTATGCCCAGGCGCATTCAGCCCCACTACTTCGGAGCCGAAGCGCAAGCAGAACTGCCAGCATATGACGAAAGCGTCGGCCATATCGCCGCGTCCGATCTGCCAAACGCCAGGCCCGCGGGCCGGCACGCACGGCAGGCCGCTTAGTTCGAAGAGCGCGCGGCCGCGCCTCGCGCAGCCAATCCGACATCGCGCGCACGTTTTCGGCCGTGGCGCGCGCGCGAAATCTTTGCGCACCAGGCGGTTCCGCCTGCCGCCGATATCATGGGCTCGCGGCCGACGCGCGCGGCGGCCGTACCTTTCGGGCACCGAATACCAGGGTCCGCGTGTCCGCCAAAGACCCTGTGTCTGCGCGGAGCAGATGCAGGACTGAGCGAATGCCCTGCAAATAGTTCGACAGGGTCCCCGGGCGGCGACAGAGCGCCACCATCATGTCCCGCGCGATGGCGCACGGCGGCCAGGGCGGGACGCCTGCCGCATCGCACGCCTGGCCGTACAACTCCACCGCCGAGGCATACGGGTATGCCGAGAGCTTCCACGCGTGGAATTCTCGCCACAGCGCGGCCATCTGGATGCGGCGCATGCACTCCAGTCCTGCTCCTGACACCCGCAATTCCTCGGCGCGCCGACGAGGTGTTCCTGGCACCCGCCGCACGCCGATGTCCTGCCTCGCGCGCACCTCCCGCGGAATGCCGCCTTCGCTTATGAATATCGCGGGCGGAGCCTGGAGTTTCGTCAGCTGGCGGATTGCCTCTGCCAGCATCGGCGGCGCTGGTACCTCCGCGCCGCGCGCGGTGCACGAGGACGGTGGCGCCGCGCGGTGGTGCCTGCCGTGCCTGCCTTGCCGCTGAGAGCAACGCGAGGGCTTCTTGAGGCGTCAAACCCCCGCCGGGCCGGCGTTTCGCGCGCAAGCCCGGTGCCGGTGCCGGGCACTTGGCCGCTTTCTCGAGTAACGTTTCCGCCGCCTTCGCGCCCACGGGTCAGCGGGCGGCGGCCGGCCTTGCTTGCTCCGCCGGATGGGGCGGAGTTGCGCGCGCGCGCTCGACCTGGGAGAGCGATGCCGCTGCATCGTCCTCCCGGGGCCGCTTTGCATTTTCGTGGGTCAGCTTACGCGCGTGAGTAATAAGCGTCACGGTGAAGCACTCTGACCACTCCCGGAGGCACGGGAACACTTCCCTCGCCTCCTTCGCCGTGAATCCGGACAGGTCGGGGGGATACGCCGCTCCTTCGGCTGCGAGCATGGATGTCAGACACTGCAGAGCTTCCGCGCCTACCGGATGCGAATCATTTTCGGGCGTCCACCGCGACGCGTGTGACAAGCACGCAAGCATGGCGCCCGCGGGCCCCCTCTCGCGGCGGGCCTGGTCGTCACGCGCTCGCCGCGCAAGCCTTTGCGCCCCCTACAAATTGCCCTGTGCTACTTGCTATGCATGCCCGCGCGAATGCCAGGGCGCCGCGCGGGGCCATGGCCACGCCACTCGGGTGAAGCCCTCGCGGTGCATGGCCGCAATCGCGGCCGCCTTCGTGGCGGGCCGCGTAGGGGCGTCTGCCACGTTGAGCGCGGATGGCACATACCACGCGCTCAGGAGGCACCGCGCGGTCGCTGCTGCGAACCAAATATCTGCCACGAGCGCGTTATAATCTGCCTGGCGCGAGGTCCCGCGTAGGAGCACCCCGAGCGCGGCCTGGCGCGGTCAGCGGAGCATCGCACGGGCAGCTCGGCGACCCGCGCCCGGCCGCGCCTTCGAATCGACAAACAACACGATTTCCGCATCGCGCAGCGTCGCGAGCAAATGATGCAAGGCGCAAACGGCCGCGACGAGTTCCCATGCCGCGACCTTTCGCAACACGGCGGGCTGTCCGCCAGGCTACGCGTGGCCGGGGCGCCCCCGCCTGCGTCTTGCGGTGCTTCGTCCACCGCTTGATCGACGAAGGCACATCAGCCGCTGCATAGCGCTTACCGCTGGGCCCAATGATGACCCACGCGAGCCTGCGGAGGCGGGGCGGGCCGGGCAATGCGGGCGCCGTTCCAAACAGGCGCGCGCGTATGTCGCCTGCCGCCGCCCGTCGCGTCGGAATAGACGAGGTAGCGTGGCCGCTCCGGGGCCACCCGCAGGGGCACCGCTCGTTCCGGCGCGCTCCGGAGGAAGCGCAGCCACCATTCCAATGCCCCGCGGAGCCGCGACTTCAACCTCCGTCCCCGCTGCTGCGCGTGCCAGAACAGCGGGGCGAGGTATACCCGGGCACCTGCCGTCGCTCTCGCGCGCGCGCGTCGCTCGCGCGCGGGAGGTTGGGCGTGCCTCTGCCGAACACCGCAGAGGGGCCCCATCCGAGTCTGCCGGCAAGTTTTGATGCCGCCGCCGGCGACATTCTCCCTGCCTCCAGCACCCACTCGTTGTGAAAGGCAGTGCCTGCTAGGCCTATAGGGCCTCCAGAAAGGCCAAAGTACCTCCCAAAGTAGGTTTCGGAGTAGGAATAGAAGTACCCCCCGAGCCTAACAAGTAGGTTCCAAAGTACCCCCCAAAGTACCTCCCAAAGTACAAAAAGTAGGCTCCGACGGGTTGTTGGCTTGTAACAAGTAGTCGATTCAGAGCTCTTTCGCTAGCGGCGCGTACTTCGAAAACTCCTCGCCTCGCTTCTCATTGTATGTTCTCTCTTCTATGTTGTCTCATCCACCCCCAGGAAGTCCACGCAATACGTACATGAACAACTAAATGACGAAGGGCATTCAACACTAAACAAAAACATGCAACTCTCTCTCTCCAAGAAAACCCCCAAACTCGGCGGATTGCGCAGCATAGAATGTATTCTGAAGCTTGCCACCGCATAGCTCACACCACACATGTGGCACCGCGTTGCTTGCACCACGTAGATTGCTCAACATAGGTTGCACCACAAAAGTGACACCATATAGGTTGCTTCCCATAGAATGCACTACATAGCGTGCACCACATAGCTTACGCCACATAGCTTGCACCACATATATCGTGCTACATGGCTTGAGCCACATAGATTGCACCACGCATATTGCCCCCCCACATCCTCCCACCCTAGCCATTTTGGCTGTCAGCCTCCCCCCCGCCATGAGCGGGGGCGGGGCAGGGTGGGCCCTCGTCGCGGAGGCCGAGGCCGCGGCTTCCGAGGGGCTCGCCGCGGGCTGGGCGGCCAATGCCGCAGCCGCCGAGGAGGCCGCCCTCGGCGGCCCCGCCGCCGGCTGGGGCGCGGTGGCGGCCGACGCCGCCGAGGCGGCGGAGAGCCCCGAGGGCCTCGAGGCGTTCTCCCACTCCCTTTCCCCACGGTGGGGAAAGGTAGTGGGGGTACTTCTCGTAGGCAGTGGACGTCCGCGGCGTCGGCCATCGCGACCTCGAGGACGTCCACCTGGACGGCCTGACGGCCGACGCCGTCAGGCCGCTGACGGCCTCAGCGGCCAGGCGGAAGGCCCATGGTCAGAAAACAGGAGATGAGGACGAGGTGAGGAGGGACAGGAAAACAACTCAAGGACTAGGAAGAAGGCCTAGGATATGAGGAAGGATGTGGAGGAAGGATGGAGGACACAATGAATGAGTAGGCGTAGGCGTGAGGAGGAGGAGGAGCACGGAGGATGTGAGAGGATGAGGACATACGGGACGGGAAGGGACAGGATGGATGTGTTGTTTACGGCGCCGCAGGCTATGTGGCAGCCGCTGGGGCCTCTTCGCAAGAGGTTGCGGGAGTGCCTGCGTGCTGCTGGCGCTGCTGCTGCTGCGCCTCATCGGCCAGCTGTCGCGGCGGCGCTGGAGGCCGCCGAGAGGGCGGACTTCGACGACGAGGGCTTCGATCTGTTCGGCAGCTTGACCGACGACGACGACGACATAGCAGCCCCCGTCGACGGCGATGGCGACCTGGCCCGCATCGACGAGCCCGACGGGTTCCTCGGGCCCCTCGCCGCCGCTCCGCCAGCTCCGACGCAGGACGAGTTCAGGCAGGACATCGCGCAGATGGTCGAGCAGATCAGCACGCTGGCCAAGGCCAACGATACCGCCAAGGCAGAGTTCCACAGCAGCAAGCAGGTCGGCGTGCTGGAGTATTTCCTGTCGGGCAAAAGCAAGACCTTGCCGTTCCACGAGGAGTGCGGCAAGTTGGGTGTGGACCGACGTGGCGCCGACACTGTCCTGAAGGCGGCTGCTGCTGCTTGCTCGCTGCTGCAGAACAGGGACGTTGCCAACATGGCTCGCCAGCTGGTGGACTCCATCGTCGCCCGCGGAGGCCGAGCATTGAGTTGGGCCGAGAGCGTGAGGTACGACGAGACGCCGATGCACATGCGACTCACGGACATCGAGAAGCAGGCTCCACCAGTGACGGACGTGGTGCTGCCAGTGGCGGGCGCGCCAGACAACGGACACGTGAAGTTGGTGCCACTCTCCAGCACTTGTTCGAGCGCGCACGTCGCCAAGATCTTGAATACACACCGCCTCTACTCGATGCTGTTCCACCTCCCCGACGTCGGGTACGTCGCCGTGCGCGTGCCGCTCGAGACGCCCGTCCAGTCGATGGCCAGGACCACGGGCGAGGTGATCTACGATGCGCTCAAGGCCAGCCAGCCGCCGATGCACGAAGTGCCGCAGCGATTCGACCGACGACAGCGGCTGGTATGCACTGACGGCGCAGGCGGGATCACGAGGATGGAGCGCAACCTGGACCGCGAGGAGGGGGACCAGTGCAACACGATGAAGATCAAGTGCGAGGTGCACATGATTCACAAGTGGCACAAGTGCGCATTCTACCACATGAAGGCCGACACCACCTGCATGGTTCACGTTGCGAAGGCGCTGCGCTGGCATGACGGCATGAGGTCATTCAGGGCTGCGCTCAGGCAAGAACTCCATGCGTCTCTGGACTACTACGCGGACGTGACGCCGTCGCCAGTGGACACCGCCTACAGCATCAAGTGCCTGGACCTCTTCCTGGAGGAGACGTCTGCCCATCGGCGACTTCGGCGCTGCATCATCCTCTCCTTGGCGAACGGGGACTGGACCAAGAGGCAGCGGCAACGCAAGCTCATGTCGCGCCCGCCTCTCGAGCCGCCCATCCCCCGAGCTAAAAACATGCGAGTGTTTTTTTTTCCAGGCTGTAGCCACCGTCCAGGCAGTTTTTTGGAGGTGGTGCAAGTTGTCTCGTTTGATGGGTTGCGGCCCGATCGTGGCCTCGGGCGTTCGGGAAGGGGGCTGGGGTACTGGACCTAGGTAGCTGAGGAGAGCGAGCGGGCGCGCCATGAGCTTCGTTCCAGGGGGTGCGTGCAACACTACTGCGACGGGTGCTGCATGTCTCGCGCCGACTGCATTTCGAAGTTCACGACGCTCTTCGTGGCTGCAGTCGCCGCGACCGGCCCGACGGTGTGGCCGTCTGCCAGGTGGACGGGGTTCGACCACAGCGTCGACTGGATGGGCGTCTTGGAGTCGTGCCACGGCCTGCTCAGCCGTGTCTTCGTGCGGTGGGCTGGCGTCAAGGACGTGGGCGGTGGGGGCAGCATCGTTGCCAAAATCGTGCCAATGAGATGTCGGCCCTCATCCAGTTGAGCCCCGTGCCCCCCTCCCCCCAACAAGCAATGCCCCGACGGTGGCGGGGGGTGTAAGGGAAGCGGGAGGTGGGTGGGAGGGTAGGTCCACGTAGGGTTGGAGGAGCTGGAGGGGGAGGGCAGTGGTGAGGGGGTACAGTAACCATGACGACGATGAGCACGACGACGAAGAATGGGCCAGCGGGACAAATCAGTTGGCCCCGGACCCCTGCCATCAAACCTTAGATTTCGGACTGCTCACCCCTCCTACTCCAAGCCACGCCCGCCCCCACCCCCGCCCAGTCCGCGGCCACTCGGGAGCCCCTGTGGGGCTCAAGCTCAGGGGGCCCCTGGCATGTTTTTGGCACCCCCCCCCGTCGACTGAAAGGTTGAAGCGTTCAGGGTCGGAGAGTCTCTCGCCGACGCGCTGCGCCTGGAGAGAGGCCCAGGCGGCAGCAGCTCTGGCCTGCGTGGGGCTGACTGCGCAGGAGCTCCAGACGGTGCGCGGCCGCCCGAGAGCCACTTCGGCGGCGACGGCCATCAGAAGAGCACCGAGGACGAGTGCAGGAAGGAGGACTCGATCCATCGATGGTGGGGCGCCAGATGGTTACACCAGGGCGACGTCGGCGCGCGGCTCATGGTGATCAGGGTGGTCTTGAGGCCGCTCGTGCAGATGATGTACAGATACCTCGGCCAGGCAGGCATCAACCACGACTGCGAGATGGAGTATCGCAAGCTCCAGGCGGCGGCGGGCAGCGGGCCCGATGCCACCAACAAGCTGTTTCCGATGGTTGCCGCGTGCAGGCGCGTCTTCGAAGGTGAGTTCCGCCAGTACCTGAAGGGCGCCATCTTGACTCCATCGCCATGGGTCACCATCGTGCCTGCGCTCAGGACCCACGCCCTCCGCACCACGGCGTTCTTGATGTTGAGCGATATCGGCTGCCTCTGCCACGAGATGTCAGTGCTCCACACCATGTATCCCTTCAAGGTGTTCAGGCTGCTGGACGGGGACAGCGCGGCCGACATCGAGAGCGACTGCGAGGACATGAAGGGCGGCTGGAGCAAGGAGCTGATCGAGAAGTACGCGAAGACCGAGCAGGGTTTGCTGCACCCAGACCTCATCGCGGAGCTGACGCACGTCGCCGCCAACGACCAGCGCGAGACCTGCAGCATCGAGTCCAGCCACGCTTCCATCCGAAGGGGCCTCGCCGCGCTGAGCGTGCAGACCCACCCAATGCACATTAGGCGCTTGTCTGCTTTGAGGACATGCCAGCGGTTTCGGACGCGAGTGCACCGACTTCGCAGCGGGCCTGGACGTTGCGCGATGAAGGGCATGGGGACGGCGCAGGTCGACAGGAAGCCTCCAGTCAAGAAGCGGTTCCTCGGCTTCGGGGGCGCTTGGCGGGCGTTTGTTCGGCAGCAGTCGCTGGGCAGGAAGGGCTCGCCCGACTTCGCCGAGCTCGCGAAGGCGTGCGCCGTGCTGTCTGCCGCAGAGAAGAACCAGCTCAGGCAGATGGGGAAAGCAGCCACCCGAGCAGCACGGGCTGGCAACAAGACCCCGTTCGGAGGGAGCTCGCGCTCACTAGAGGCGCGGGCGAGGATGGCTGCTTTGGCACGTCAGGTCAACGAGCTGCACGAACGCAAGCTCGCTGCGCTGCTGGGCTCGTCGGGTGGAGTTCAGGGGGATATCGCAGTTGCCACCTACGACGGCATCATCAGCATCGCCTCGTCGAACCCCAAGCACCTCGCCGACATGACAGAATTGCGACAACTTGAGCGTGCGGAGCGGGCCTGGCGCCAATCCGACCAGATCGTGATGCACGACGCTGTTAGCAAGTGGTGCTCGGAGACGGGCGTGGAAGCGAGGGCTGCTTGCTTGTTCCACGAGTCGGCCATCAGCAACAGGCTCGACGAGTTCCTCCCCATCGTTCCCCCGTGCCAAGGTTTTCAGCTCTTCGAGTGGGAGCCCGTGGGCGTCTTGGATCGGGTGAAGAGCGCGCTCTCGGTGCATCGCCGCTTCATCGCTGACACCTTCGCTGCCTTGGCGAAGTTCTGGGATGACTTCCACGGCACGATCGACCACCATCCGCGCCCCGAGTGGGACGAGAACGACTGCGCGGACATCCCAGCTTGCATGCGCGCGGGCATGTGCGTGTGCACGGGCGCGGGCTTGGAGGTCGGCCAGTTCGTGGAGAAGTTCGACGCTGCTGTGAAGAAGGCATGCCCAGTCGGGCGTATCAGGACAGAACACTTGGCCCACGGCTACATCGTGGTATACGTCTTCGCGCAGCGCCAGCCAGCCGACGACGAGAAAGATATCAATATCGCAACGGACGGCATCGTCGAAGGACTGCCCATCGTCGACGGCAAGTGGCTGCACATCGGCCACAACAATTTGTCGCCTTGGCGGTCGTGCTTTCAACTCCTGAACGGCCCGACGGGCCCGATGCATCCCAACATCGAGATGACCAACTGTCATTTGGAGGGCACGGCCGAGTTCGCTACGCCGTGGCAGGCGTTCAAGGACTTCAACAGGAACCTTCGGTGGGCTGTGTGCGTTTACAGCGTGGACATGAAGAAGAGCCCTCTCGGGACGTTCGTTCCAGACTGCATCGACGTCCACTTGACCGAAGCGATTGAGAAGGAAGGCGTCCCGACGTGCAGGGTCATTTGGAAACCGAGATGGGCGATGTGGAGGAGGAAGCCGAACAAGGTTGACAAGATGGACGTGCACGTCAAATCTGGATGGCACGGCCTCGCTTCGATCAAGGACGGTGAGCTGGGCAGCGACAAGGACGAGGGCCCCGACAACGACGACGGACCGCTCGAACCTGGAGGCGAACCACATGGAGGCGACGCAGTTGTCTGCTCTGGTGGCGGTGAAGCAGGTGGCGCCGACGTGGGCGGCGAGG